GTGGTCAAGGTGTGTCATATAGGCTCCCAGAAGGGAACCTGATGCAGGCTGGAAATCCTAAAAGTGGAGCTTGGAACACAGGTCTGAATGGCTCCCCATAACAATATAATATATATATATATATATATATATATATATATATATATATACTGTATATATATATGAAAGCAGGCTTTTTAAGTCCAGATCTGGACTAAAGAACCGCATGGAGACCACCTTATGGAGTTGGTCTCAGTGCGGTTCCATGTGGACTCTAGTGCGGACCGCGGCTGGTGAGAACACTAATCGGCCTCGATACGGCCCTGCTCTGTTGCCTACCAACCTTTTTGGTCTACCAAAGCTTCCATTGCAAGCCACATAGTTTAGCAGCTTACCTCTTTTTTGGCGATAGTGTTTTGTCTTCTCTGCTCCAAAGAGTGTTGTCGTGCTGCATCCGTGACACATAATAGATACATAGATCGTATTTGTGTTGCACAAAGCAATGATGATAATAGCCACACACACACGAGCAGACGGGCACAGTTCATTGATAAAGCCACTTTACAGCTGCTCCATATGAAAAAAAACATGTTAACTAATAACAAATGCGACCTTTTTAAGAATATTTACTTCCACCATGTTTGAATTGTATTCATAAGCTTAGAATTTAACTTATAAATGTCCATGAGAGAGGAGTGCTCTCATGGACATGCGAGGATGCAAGAATCGCGTTTTTGTTTCACATGAGCTACTGGTATTGTTGCTTTCACCGTGCCTTCACAAGTTGGAAGAAGGAACCATGGAGGACCACATTTATATAAAAGAACCATGGAGGACCACAGTTATTTAAAAGAACCATGGAGGACCACAGGTATGTAAAAAAAGCCATCTTTTAGAAAAATAATAATGCAAAAGTCCGGCATCGCTGCAGCAAACTGTCAACATCGCAAATCACACACACCAAAAGACAGCGTTAACACAACAGGAGGCACGTGTAGTTTGTCCACAACAGACTCACACGTGAACAATACATAACTTTTTTCACACTGACAATAATGAGAACGAGGCAGAATCTACAACACAGTCTCAGGATGTTCTGACCCGATCCGAGCACAGTCCAACTACTGTCACAAGTTTCAACTAAACTTATTCAGGGACAAGCCTCAAATAAAACACACAGAATCCCCACAAAACAATTGCCAGAATACTTCATCAGCAGCATGAGTGAATGTTCTATTTCTTACCGTGATGCAAATAGGGCGCTGTGGCTAACGCTAATGATAACATGGGCTGTTAGCTATGCATGTCCTGCGACTAACCTTGCCTGCAAGCTGAATTCTCGCTGTATTTGTGAGTTCACAAACACTCGAGAATACATCTTGCCCCGCTCCCACCAACCCTTTTCGAGTAGAACATCTAGGTGTTCAAGCCAATCACGCGGCAGTCTGGGGGTTTAGGGCGGGATATCCGGGTTTGACGAAAGCAAGAAGTGCCGGGCCGAAGCAAAACAAACATGGCTACGCAGGAGGACGGACGCGTAGCTGAGGCTATCAAGTCAGTTTTAGCAGAATCTCCTATTTCTTTTTTAAAAGATGAACAGCGAGAGGCGCTTTCTGCATTTCTGGACGGCAAAGATGTTACCGGGATAGGTTTAAGTGTGAGATTTCATAACACTTTTAAGCAACTTTTGTTATAGTTAAACTCATCATTCTATCAATGTGCAGAAGCCTGTACTTTTCCACTTCATGTTTTGTCTATCTGAAGGCCAAGCTACAAGGCACCGTGGAAGCTGCTGATTGGAGGTCTCCATGCCTCTGCTCTGTATAATACACTTGCATTCTGTGTTCGTGCTGTCTCTACCATCGACAATAAAACATGTCTTCTGTCTGAATGAAAGACGCGATCCCAGACTTGGCACATCTTCTTCAGGTGGTGGAAGGATGCGGGCCTTGTCTGTAACATCTAGTGAACAGAAGACTTTTTTTTTTTTTTATTATTATTTTTTTTTTTTCATATCTGTCATTGTAGTTGGTCTTGATTGCTTCCACCAGCTTGGCAAGTGCACCCTTGTCCTCTGGGTTAATCTGTGTGAAGGCAACTGAAGTGCAAGTCTTTCTGTGCACCAGTCTACCCAGTCTTGCCTTGCCCTTGACAATGCAGTAAGGAACTCCCATTTTCCTGCAGAGGGCAGGCAGAAAGACGACCAACTCAATTGGATTCACATCGTGGGCAACAATGACGAGCTGGGCCTTCTTACTCTCGACCAGAGAAGTAACGGTGTTCACACCAGCACGGAGCACAGGGGGCCTCTTGGTGGGAGTATCACCCTTCCCAGCTGCCTTCTGCTCAGCGCGGGCCAGCAGCCTTTGCTTCTTCTCCTGCTTGGTCTCTGGTCTGTACTTGTGGGCCAGTTTAAACAACTGTGTGGCAGTCTGACGATCCAGAGCTTGGGTGAACTGGTTGATCGCAGGGGGAACCTTCAGACGCTTGTAGAGGATGGAGCGCTGCCTCTACAGGCGAATGTATCTTGGCCATTTCACGAAACGTGTCAAATCACGCTTGGGCTGGATGTCCTGACCGATGCTAAAGTTCTTGGGCCTTTTCTCAAAGAGAGGGTTCACCACTTTTTTGGCCTCATGTTTCTTGGCCACAGAAGGGGCTGGTGCCACCTTCTTCCCCTTAGGCATGTTTCCACTTCATGTTTTGACTATCTCTGCTGGCACCGTGGAAGCTGCTGATTGGAGGTCTCCATGCCACCTGAAGAAGATGTGCCAAGTCTGGGATCGCGTCTTTAATTCAGACAGAAGACATGTTTTATTGTCGATGGTAGAGACAGCACGAACAACACGAACACAGAATGCAAGTGTATTATACAGAGCGGAGGCATGGAGACCTCCAATCAGCAGCTTCCACGGTGCCATGTAGCTTGGCCTTCAGATAGACAAAACAAGAAGTGGAAAAGTACAGGCTTCTGCACATTGATAGAATGATGAGTTTAACTATAACAAAAGTTGCTTAAAAGTGTTATGAAATCTCACATAAGTCAAACCTTGGTAGGCGGGCACACAGCTTCACTTCGCCCAATCAGCTTGAAGTATTCTGCTGCTTATCCCTCCTTTCCCCGAAAGGATTCTCCTGCAGAAGTCCCAGATTGATATTGTGGAGAACGCATTAGATTTCTACACAATCATCAATCTGGCTCTTGCCAGGTTATCCTGCCGCGGCTGTGTGTATGTCCTGCTTCTTTGATCATCGTTGTTTTAAGCTCCCGCAGACGTTAATCCTCCAAGCGTCTCTTCTCTTCACAAAGCGTTTGTAAAACTATATATTATATTAGATCCATGGAAAAAACCATGGAAAAAATTTTACCCGAGACGTTACAACTAAAGTATTCTTTCCATGGCAGTCTAGTGAATGACAACTCAAAGGCTTCCGTAGTACCTTGGACTGCAATATAAGATCTCAACGCGAGATGGCACTAAAAATTACACAGTGTATCTTTAACGAAAATACAAAGTTTGTTTTCTTCTGGGATTTTTCCCTGTGCCAATCAGCTTTCACCTTTGTCACCCAATACACATAGTTTGTGTATTTTGTGAACAGCGCCACCACATGGGCATAGAAATATATAAAATCCACAGTGGTTGGTTCATTTGCACAAGCACGTGTGATTGTGAATGAACCTGTTGAGAACTGCAACATTGTAACAACTTTTGGGCCCAATTGAACCACTTTTCTGGACCAACTTTGCTGGCCGTAAAAAGTGCTGAGTTGAAACTTAGCGTGACGTCCGCTCTCCTCCACTCACAGAACGAGGCCATGTCCTCTATCCTCTACAGCGCTGGTAAACACATTAGCAAGTTAGCAGAATTAGCTATAACTCTTCTTGCTGTAACTGCATACACAGCAAAACAGCCCAAGCGACACAACAGAGAGGAAGAGAATAGGGAACTAAAGCAAAAAAAAATGATCGAAGAAGAAATCAAGTCCGGGTGAACATTGCTAGCTTACATCGTATCCTCCAGAGAGACTTATAGTCTATGGGAGAGACCTACGGGAGCGGGACCGCCTTGGACTATCTATGCTCGGACTACATTTGGATGTGAAACTAGCGGTAATCTTTCAGTTATGTATTTTGTTAGCAGTGCGTCGCTTTTGTACCATTTCATCAGTGATTGTAGTACAGCTTACAAGAAGTTACGCTCATGCTAATGTTTGCATATTTGATCTCAAATAAAACTAGATCAGATGGCTCCGTGGGATGAGAGCGAGTTGAGGGGTGGTGCTAAACATTCAAACCTTGCAGCAACGGGTATAGCTCCTTTAAACATCCCACTGATGTCTGCTGTCATTGTGTCCTTGGGCTTAACTCCACTTTGCCTGAAGTAGGTGGTGGACTCACCACCTGCAGAAGGATCAGTGAGAGGCTGGTGCTTAGTGTCTGACTGCCACCCCCCGACCCAGAAATGGATTAAGGGGGCAAAAATGGATGGATGGATGGATGGATGGACCTTTATTTCACTATTCCGAAAGTGAATAATAAATCGTCAAAAATAAGCATTAAGTACCAAAGGTACATCCTGAAAATAAAATTTATAATATTTAACCCTTTAAATTGCTATATACCTCAACCTTGATATCTCACCCTTGTGCCTTCAATTTATGGCACCTAACAGTTTTGTTTTAAGTGCCATTTATGAACAATAATTTCACTTATATGTGTTTTCAGTTTCTTTTCAAAGTTGACATCGGTGGAAAGAAGGGACTGTTCATCGTTAATGATGAGGATCACGTTGCTTCTTCTGGTGTTACTACCAGTCGGTGAGTACTCTGAAAGTGTGTGTGCGTGTGTGTATGTGCATATGTGTATGTGTTCATACACACATGTAGGTGTGTGTATGTGTCCATGGGCGGGTGTGTGTATTTGTGTTAGTGTGTGTAAAATAGAAAAGACACTGATTGAACTCTTCTCATGCTGCAGTAATGAATGTACAACATGTGGAAGGACTTCTCAAGGGCAAATGTCCAACCACCACAACAACAGCTCCTCCAACAACCACCACAACAACAGCTCCTCCAACAACCACCACAACAACAGCTCCTCCAACAACCACTACAACAACAGCTTCTCCAACAACCATCAAAACAGCTCCTCCAACAACCACCACAACAGCTCCTCCAACAAAAACCACAACAACAGCTCCTCCAACAACCACCACAACAACAGCTCCTCCAACAACCACCATAACTACAGCTCCTCCAACAACAACCACAACAACAGCTCCTCCAACAACAACCACAACAACAGCTCCTCCAACAACAACCACAACAGCTCCTCCAACCACCACAACTACAGCTCCTCCAACAACAACCACAACAACAGCTCCTCCAACAACCACAACAGCTCCTCCGACAACAACCACGACAACAGCTCCTCCAACAACCACCACAACAACAGCTCCTCCAACAACAACCACAACAACAGCTCCTCCAACAACCACAACAACTACAGCTCCTCCAACAACAACAACCACAAAAACAGCTCCTCCAACAACAACCACAACAACAGCTCCTCAAACAACAACCACAACAACAGCTCCTCCAACAACCACAACAACAACAGCTCCTCCAACCACCACAACTACAGCTCCTCCAACAACCACAACAACAACAGCTACTCCAACAACCACAACAGCTCCTCCAACAACCACCACAACAACAGCTCCTCCAACCACCACAACTACAGCTCCTCCAACAACAACCACAACAACAGCTCCTCCAACAACCACAACAACTACAGCTCCTCCAACAACAACCACAACAACAGCTCCTCCAACAACCACAACAACAACAGCTCCTCCAACAACGACAACAGCTCCTCCAACAACCACACCAACAGCTCCTCCGACAACCACAAAAACAGCTCCTCCAACAACCACAATAACAGCTCCTCCAAAAACCACCACAACAGCTCCTCAAACAACCTTCACAACAACAGCTCCTCCCACAACCACAAAAACGACAGCCCCTCCAACAACAACCACCACCACAACAACAGCTCCTCCAACAACTGCCACAACAACAGCTTATCCAACAACCACCACATCAGCTCCTCCAACAACCACTACAACAACAGCTCCTCCAACAAAAACTACAACAGCTCCTCCAACAACCACAACAACAACAGCTTCTCTAACAACCACCAAAACAACAGCTTCTCTAACAACCACCAAAACAACAGCTCCTCCAATAACCACCACAACAGCTCCTCCAACCACCACAACAACAGCTCCTCCAACAACTGCCACAACAACAGCTTATCCAACAACCACCACATCAGCTCCTCCAATAACCACCACAACAGCTCCTTCAACAACCACCACAACAACGGCTCCTCCAACAACCACCACAACAACGGCTCCTCCAACAACCACCACAACAACAGTTCCTCCAACAACCATAACAACAGCCCCTATAACAATAACCACAAAAATCCTCTCTCTGCCAACTACAGTCACCACAAGTACCACTCCTTTGCCAGTATCAAATAGGACTGCAGCAGCAGCTATAGCAGCCAGTGTTGCAGCAACCGCAGCAACTGCAGCAGCAACTGCTGCAGCAGTAGCAGCTGCAGTAGCAGCATCCCCAACAGCATCCCCAGCCGACAGGGAGCTGGCACGGAAAGCTCAGGAAGCAGCTGCAGAAGCTATGCGCATTCTTCAAGAAGGACTTAAAGAAGCTGATGAATTACGGAACAACTCTGGATCTATTGCTGACACACTAGAAGCCGCTCGACTGACAGCACAAAAAGCACTCGAGGCCTCCCTTGCAGCACTGACAGCATCACAAAATGCCTCAAGGTCATCATCCCCATACGGAGAACATTTAGCCAAAGCAGCTGCTGAAGCAAAAGAGGCAGCTCTCAAATCAATCCAAGCAGTGAATAATATGTCAAATTTAAATCCTGAAAGTTTAGAGGCGGCAACTAAAGCCATGAATGAGTCCACAATAGCAGCAGAACGAGCAATCATAGAGTTAAAGGCTGCTCTAGAACTAAATAATACTGAACCTATTGACCCTACATTAAAAGAAATGTTAATTAATGCAACTAAACATGCTGAAGATACTGCTGATAGAACCACAACTGCTGTTCAAAAAGCCATTGAGTCTTTAAAAGCAAACACTTCAGTCGATGCACAACAATCTTTAAATGAGGCTATCAGATTAGTGTTTAATGCTGTAATTCCTTCAGCAATTGAAGCAGTTGCAGATGCATCTGATGCATTATCATACAATACTTCTACTACTGTTCCAACAACTACAACCATACATCCAACCACAGTAATAATCAACACTCTACAAACTACAACAATAACTTCATCACCAGCCGTATCAAATAGGACTGCAGCAGCAGCTATAGCAGCCAGTGTTGCAGCAACCGCAGCAACTGCAGCAGCAACAGCTGCAGCAGTAGCAGCTGCAGTAGTAGCATCCCCAACAGCATCCCCAGCCGACAGGGAGCTGGCACAGAAAGCTCAGGAAGCAGCTGCAGAAGCTATGCGCATTCTTCAAGAAGGACTTAAAGAAGCTGATGAATTACGGAACAACTCTGGATCTGTTGCTGACACACTAGAAGCCGCTCGACTGACAGCACAAAAAGCACTCGAGGCCTCCCTTGCAGCACTGACAGCATCACAAAATGCCTCAGGGTCATCATCCCCATACGCAGAACATTTAGCCAAAGCAGCTGCTGAAGCAAAAGAGGCTGCTCTTAAATCAATCCAAGCAGTGAATAATGTGTCAAATTTAAATCCTGAAAGTTTAGAGGCGGCAACTAAAGCCATGAATGAGTCTACAATAGCAGCAGAACGAGCAATCATAGAGTTAAAGGCTGCTCTAGAACTAAATAATACTGAACCTATTGACCCTACATTAAAAGAAATGTTAATTAATGCAACTAAACATGCTGAAGATACTGCTGATAGAACCACAACTGCTGTTCAAAAAGCCATTGAGTCTTTAAAAGCAAACACTTCAGACGATGCACAACAATCTTTAAATGAGGCTATCAGATTAGTGTTTAATGCTGTAATTCCTTCAGCAATTGAAGCAGTTGCAGATGCATCTGATGCATTATCATACAATACTTCTACTACTGCTCCAACAACTACAACCATACATCCAACCACAGTAATAATCAACACTCTACAAACTACAACAATAACTTCATCACCAGCCGTATCAAATAGGACTGCAGCAGCAGCTATAGCAGCCAGTGTTGCAGCAACCGCAGCAACTGCAGCAGCAACAGCTGCAGCAGTAGCAGCTGCAGTAGTAGCATCCCCAACAGCATCCCCAGCCGACAGGGAGCTGGCACAGAAAGCTCAGGAAGCAGCTGCAGAAGCTATGCGCATTCTTCAAGAAGGACTTAAAGAAGCTGATGAATTACGGAACAACTCTGGATCTATTGCTGACACACTAGAAGCCGCTCGACTGACAGCACAAAAAGCACTCGAGGCCTCCCTTGCAGCACTGACAGCATCACAAAATGCCTCAGCGTCATCATCCCCATACGGAGAACATTTAGCCAAAGCAGCTGCTGAAGCAAAAGAGGCAGCTCTCAAATCAATCCAAGCAGTGAATAATATGTCAAATTTAAATCCTGAAAGTTTAGAGGCGGCAACTAAAGCCATGAATGAGTCTACAATAGCAGCAGAACGAGCAATCATAGAGTTAAAGGCTGCTCTAGAACTAAATAATACTGAACCTATTGACCCTACATTAAAAGAAATGTTAATTAATGCAACTAAACATGCTGAAGATACTGCTGATAGAACCACAACTGCTGTTCAAAAAGCCATTGAGTCTTTAAAAGCAAACACTTCAATCAATGCACAACAATCTTTAAATGAGGCTATCAGATTAGTGTTTAATGCTGTAATTCCTTCAGCAAATTATGCAGTTGTCGATGCATATGAAGCATTATCATACAATCCTTCAACAATTAGGGCAACAACGTCAGCAGCAGCATCAGCTGCCGCTGCAACAGCCTCGTCTGCTGCCGCTGTAGCAGCGTCAATTTCCACTATGGCTGGAGCAAAAGAATCACCAATCGCTGAAATGGCCATGAGATTAGCAAAGGAAGCAGCCAAGGTGGCAGCATTAGTGGCCAATGGGAAGAGCCTGCCATCAGAAGCAGCACAAGCAGCACTGGAAGCCACAAATAAAGCTTTGGAAGCTATATTTTCCGCAAAAGTAGAAGCCTCTAAACTACAAGCATCTATGAAAAATGTGTCCGAAAAACTTCTAACTATAGCCCTAGATTTACAAAAGGCAGCTGCCAAAGCAGCAGATGCAGCACAACAAGCCACCACTGGAACAGACGAGTCAATAATTGGAGCAAAACAGGCAGAGACAAAGGTTAAGGAATTGTCTGATGAGACTTCAATTTCTTTGGATAAAATTTTAAATTCTTTCAATGAACCATCTACTCCCAGAAAAAGAGCAATAAGGCTTTCAATTTCAGCAACAAAGGCAGTGACAGAAATGGCAAAAGCAACTTCACAGGCAGCTATCGCTGCAACAGGTGTCACGAAAGAAGAGACAGCTGATATTATGTTAACATCGGCCAAAGCAGCTGCAGGGGCAGCCAAGGCGAGTGCAATTGCAGCAGAACTAGCCCTTCCACGAGGCGACATCATCAATGTGATCCCAACCCCTGCACCTGTGACAAGAGCAGACAGATCAGCAGTGTCAGCGCCCACAGCTGCAGCAGCAGCTGCCACAGCATTATGCGCATCTTTGGCTTCTGCCTCTGGTGCACCCTACCAAGATGTATTAGCAGCTGTGACAGCAGCTCAAATAGCAGCTGATGAAGCTGCAGCTGTAGCAGCTGGAAATCAATCTTTGACAGTGGCTGCAACAGCTGCCAAAAAGGCAGCCGATGCCGCAGATAGAGCTGTTAATGCAGCAAAGGCATTTGTCCGTACCTCCCAAGCAGCAATGCTAATTGAGAAAGCAAGCCAAGCAGCACTTTCAGCGAGGAGAGCAGCAGAAGCAGCAGCAAAAGCAAGTGTAGATTCCTCATCATTAGACGAGGTCATTGAAACTGCAAACGCAGCCATGGAGGTGGGCAAAGCATCAGTTGCTTCACTGAAAACATTGGCAGAAGCCACCGAAACTCAGGATGCTGAAATAGAACGAATAAAAAGAGTTGCACAAATAGTGGCGGATATGACAGAAGCAACAGCCATTGCATCAGAAACAGCAGCTAATGCAATAGTAACAAACTCAAGCGAACTTATTATACCAAGCGCTATTTCTGCTGCCAGAGCAGCACAAGCTGTAGCAAGAACTTCTTTTGAATCATTGCCGAAAACTTCAGGAAACGGCAATGCCGCAACAAATATCCCTTCATCAACTGATAACCCTAATGGAGGAAAAACCATGGGCTTGGCCAAAGCAAAACAAGGAGCAGTGGCTGCCTCCACAGCAGCAGCAGCAGCAGCAGCAGCTGCTGCCTCAGTATCCGCAGCATCTGCTGGACCAAGCGCTCATCCTGCTGCTGAAGCAGCAACAGCAGCAGCTAAAGTTGCAGCTAGAGCAGCTCAACTAGTAGTGGATGACTTAGCTTCTTTAGACTTTGCTGTGGAAGCTGCTAGAGTTGCATCTGAGGCAGCCAAAGAAGCCGCTCGTGCTGCCATAAGAGCAGCAGAGACATCATCTCTTTCCCAAGCAGATCACGCAGCAGACAAAGCAGCCATAGCTTGTGCCACTGCTGAAGCATCAAAGAAAGCAGCTGAAGCCGCAGCTGAAGCCGCATCAAGTTCTGCAACAAGGAATACATTGACAAATTCTGCAGCTGCAGCTCATTCTGTGGCCAATGAAGCACGCAAAGGGGCCAGACAACTCCAGAACATTATATCAAGCCAACCGATAATTAGTTCAAAAGATGAAGCCATTCTTCGAGAGGTCATGGCTGTGGCCCAAATGGCCAGTGCCACAGGAATAGCATCCGGAACAGTTTCAGAAACTGCGCTGACAGGCATTTCAAATGATAATGTAGAAAATATGGTACAAACATTGAGTTCCACAGCTAATGCAGCTGCCATGGCTGCTTCTGCAACTGCTTCAGCAGCAGAGGCAGCTCTGCTGTCAATGGCATCTGCAAATGAAGATGGGACAACTGATGGAAACTCGCCAACAACCACACCAACAACAGACATAGGCAGTGGAGACAGTCAGGTCACAGCAGCGGCTCATAACAGCAAAATGAGCCTGTTGTCTGTCGCAATAGCTTTTACTGCAATTGTTCTTCTCTAAAAATCGTTGTTTGATAATGTATATGTGTATGTGAATTATTTCTGTTATTTATTATACCTATTTACTTTATTTATTGTGTGCATCTTTTGTGTAGAAGAGATCGTTAATAAACACAAGCTTTGGAATGCTAGTTTCATTATGTAGTGTGATGTATTTATTTGAAGACACTATGTGTCGATCAGTAATAGACATACTCAGCAGTCTAATATTTGTCTCAAAATGTTATATT